TCGCCTGTCAATCATCTCAATCATTTGAACCATTTAAACCATCTAAACCATCATCACATGGTACATCACCATCATCACAGCGCTGGAGCTGCCACGGCTTACTGAGAGCTACCCCCCGCACCGCCGCCTGCTACCCTCCTGCCCTGGAGGCTGTGATCATGTCATAATGGGGCTAGAGGTATGCGGGCTCCTTACGGTTCGGCTTCACTTGTTACTTTTGTGTTACGGAGAAATGACTCTAAGAATCTACTCACTAAGATTATTACCTGTATCGACCAGTCATACTGACTCATAGATTCGTTTATATCGACATCTGCAGTATTATTCAAGGTAGAATTTTCTGGAAATAGTAGCGTGTCGAAATAGTAACCGCTGGGTTACAAGGTGGTAGCAAGATCTTTTACAATCCTAACATATTATAGACTTGCCAAAAATATTTTCATTAATTTAGGCCGTCATGGTAACACCAAGTCTCATATAAATTACAGCTGAATTTTTTCTGATGTTATAAAGGTGTATTCATTTCTTTAACATTTTTTTATTGATTTAAAATTGTTCCTATAATATATTTTAATTACTGCATTGTAATTCGAAAATTTAAAATATTTGATACCTAAAACGTTTTATTATCCCTAACGAAGATGTTACAGTACGATTATTTTAATCTGATTTTCATCTGTTCGCTCACGTCCGCTTAGATTACGCCTACCAGGAGCAGTGGAGCCCACGTAAACACACACCTGTGCTGCTCGTGAAATCAGCTACAGAAACCAATCGGTTCTACAAATCAAATACTGTAGCATCCTGCAGTGTCACTCTGGTAATGACATACACCTCACTCGTTCCTAATTCGGTGAGGTGAGCATTTCTACGAAGCCCAGCCCATTTCTTACTGAGTTGATTCTTTGAGTACAGTGACGTTCTATCTGCATTCTACATTAAGGTCGATTTCTAATCCTGTTGCAGTAGTCATGTCGACTTAAACTGACATGGAGTTAGCTCACTTTTTATTTTATTGTTCATGAGTGAAGCCTGAACTGGGATGAAGCTAGGAATTCAGGAACATGTCGTGTGTCTGTGTGCATAAACGGTTTAGGGATTTTTGTCTTCCACTTTTCTTTTAGGTGCGCGTAATTTAGAATATGTTGAATTTTAAGTTCTGAAAGTTATTCTAAATCCTGAGATTATTTCCAAGGTTTGGGGTGAACACATTCTGTTTGTTGTCAGAGCACCAGTCTTGAAATGTTCCTGAATTCGGTCTCAAATTTGGATCTGTGCGGGGCGGGGGTATGTTTAAACGAAAAGTATAATCTAGGAAAACAAACACAACCACTGAAATAGACGATGTGGTGCCCTACTAACACATTTTAAGTCAGTTTTATTTCTTCCAAATTAATTGTTTTCCGAAATTTACAACACATTATGTAAGGTTATTCGTGTTTCGTGGACTTTGTATTTACTGAACAAATATAATTAATGTTGTGATTACAATAGTACAAGTCGTGCCTGTATGCTCAAACGTATTGTAATTCCATACAAAATGTAGCACTGGAATACATATAGCCTTCCACAGTGAGCATACCGCCCTATCTCGCCTTGCTTGCGTGATCATAACAAGGCAATAGAGCCCCTGAATTTATTTAATAAAACCATTGCGTATTGTTACAAATATATCTGCTATTTATTTATATTTTGTAAATTACTGAGGCCAAAAAATTGACATTTAGTTGAAATACAGTCAAAGAAGTTAACGAATGTTTAAATTTCGGCCACAAAATAAAACTAATCCTGAAAGTCTTAGACACACACACATTAATTGCGTCACGTGGACTAAGTGCTGAAAACTCTATCTTTATTTGAATTACCTAAAAATTAAGTGCATTTTCGGTTTGAGGATAAATATTAACAGTTGGTGTTTAATTACGTAAAATATTTGAATTTCAGAACCGTTTTAATTATAACGCTAGACGAATTCAGCAAACTTAACGTTCAGTTGCCTAACATTTTATTTTGCGTTGGTGTCAACATTCCGATAGTTTGCTGAATATTGATGATTTTTTTAAAAAATACACTTCATTCTGGACTTAAATCTGAGTTGTACCTTATACCATGTTTTGACCAATAAACCGTAATCGTGTGTATTTTATCTGCGCATTAAAATTGTAAACTTTCGATTATTAATCATTCTTAGCATCTACTCTGGACGATGATTGATTGACAGTTATGTATGCGCTGTAAATATAATGTGACCAACAAAGATTTTTGAGAGAGATCGCTCATCAAACATTTAAAGATCTTATCCTTCAAGTATTTTTAGTATTACCCAGACGGATCTATTCTATACAACGCTACAGCCAACTGTTATTTTCACGTATAATACAATAACGATGTAAGCAGATTTGAGGTCGTATTAAATTTGAATGCCCCTTTTATCTGTACATTTTAGGACAACCAAATCAGAGAAATATCGAAGCCTTTCATATATGAATTCTTTGAAATATGCCCATGCGTCACTTTTTGTGAGAATCGGTTTAAGAAACGTGTCCCACATCTTGTTGCAACTAAAATTATATCTGATTTTAAAGCAATAGAAATATGTCTTATTATGAAATTGTACGAGCAGAATAGGATATTTTAATAAGATCAGAATGTAAGGGTTGAAGTAGAGCCTTTTTATTTCCTTGGTATGGAGAAAGCCCTAATTGATCTCCTCTGCTGTGTGAATGAAACATTTGGTAGTGTAAAAGACTGATGTTGGTTTCAACCTGAGGTCTTGACTATGCCCTGTGATTGACAGGTGACAGACTTTGCATCTTCCACTAATGGACATCTTGTTTACTTTGTAAGTCCATACGGGGCTCAGCCTAACGAAAAGCATGCACATGACAAGGATGGAAGACGCGACACTAAGCACATTGTGAAACTTCTTGTGACTTGTCTGGAACAGCTGAACAAATAGTTGAAATATTGTAAAATGGGGGCGTAGAAAATGTATTAGTGGCGCGCACGTGGCGGTCTTTTGACACTAAAGATCCTTTTCATTAAATTTATTAGTATTTTTAATGTTTTCTTCTGTCTCTAACATGACGTGAGGGAACATTTCTTTTATTAATTTTGTAATTCCTGGAATGACAAACCGGATATTGCTGATACGGATTTACTTCACCATTTTGTGATTCTGGTTACAGTTTTGAGATCTCGCATTTTTATAACAGGTTCTCAAACAATGAACCATTTTAAAAATTGGCAGGACTGTTATGTGGATGGGAAATCCAATCATCGCAACGCTAATAGTGAAGACATGCTGGGTAAGATTAATGCAATCTGTCTTACTTAAAATATTACATGCCTGTTCTTACTTGTACTGAATCTGCAGTTGTGTGTGTCTAATGTACAAAGAATGAAGCCATCCAATTAAAGATAAAAAAATTCCCAAAGACCATCCCTGACGAATTAAAAACAGAACAAACAAGCAAAAGTGAAAAAATATTTAAATAAATTAAAAAATAAAGTCCACAAAATAAGCAAAGAAAACATTGGATTGATTTATTATACATTTGTAATTAATTTAATAATTTGGAAATGTCTTTATCATGAATTCAATGTTATATTCAGTATCAGATGATCCAAGATAACACGTCAAAGAGCACAACAATTCTGTCTTTTTACTCTTACAGTTGAATACAAAATGTTGAAAATGTCACAGTTCAGTATTATAGACTTACATCTTAGATGTACTCGGAGGTACCAGATTCTACATCCGAGACTCATGAGATCCATAAATTAAAAAAAAAGGCGTATGTGAACGGGGTGTACGTTTATACATTGACCAAAGTAATACATATATATTCATATATTGTTAGGAAGGTATCATTTTCATAAATTGTATTTCATTATCAGAGGTGTTGTATCGGTACTTCAAGTTCACTCCTGAGTGAATCAACAAGCTGAATACGATCGGCACGTATGAGGCATCGAGAGGCATTATGTGCACGTAACGCCTGAATATGTCGTGTAAAAAGTTCATGGAAGTAAAACAAGGCCTATAATTTGATTGTATACATTTTTGTCGGTCTTTGAAATGAGTTACAGAAATCATAGTCTTTTGCATGTATATTAACCCTGGAAATTGTTACTACAAACCTACCGAGTAAAATGAGGCCACTATTTTGCGATGTGATGTTATCTGACTACATAAATCTGTTGTTTTAAGTGTCTCTTTCTTTTGGAAACCGATGACAGATCCTTTCATGACTGTTCGTTATTTCTTATATAGAGAAAGTCGACAGTAATTGGAAAATTGCTGCAATCGAGACGATCTCTCTACAGTTATCGATTATCTTCTTCACTGTAATCCTCCCAAGTACATTTAACCTTTTTATGGGCAATGCAGTTTACTCGGTAGATTGTTATTATCGAAGATACACGTTATACTGTTTTATGTGAATATGCAAATTTTACCCTCGACATTAAAAATGAAACACACTTTAATATGTGCACAACAAATACTTCTGTGTGATGAATAACAAGACGCTTGTGTTAAAATAAAATGCTTATATATTATTACTGTAATTATAACAGTGTGTGTGATATATACAAATAATTTAGCTTTGCAGCAAACGAAAGTGTATAAAGATTTTAAACAAGAAATACCACTATTGTGAATAATATTATTTGTATATGTACGTAAAAACCTAAGATACAATGCAAAACTTTACTGAAATGTTCTCACTCAAACACGAATTGATGAAATATTAAATTAAATGTCAAATCACTATATTTACTTCACGTAATTATTTATTATTTATTTCAGTGGTTTTGGAATTTCGTTGCAAGGAATGTCGAAAGTTCTGTCACTGTCATCTTGAATTAATTAACTTATAACATTTTTTATCGTGTTCTCTTACAAATCAGATTTTCTTAATCTCTGATAGCCCTTGAAGCATGAACAATGGATATTTCATGTTCTTAGTTAATTTATTGATGCACTATTTGATTTTGTCTTGTCAAAATACCTACATGAAATTAATTCATATAATTGAAATAAATACCACAGAATTATTAAGTCATTCTTTATTACATCTGTTTCTTAACAAATGAACTAAACGAATTTCTTGTAATGTTTCACATCCATCAGAATAACTGAAGATACTTTTTGGGCAGACGTTCTGCAGCCTTCAAAGTACGTAACTGAAGAAACCAAAAATGTATAGTATCGTTTCTGATTTATCTTAACTGTTCTGCTGAAAGGATATTTTGTGAGCATGTTCTTTTTTTTTGTCGGATAACATTCTAAAAATACTTCCATTGTTATAGAAATTCGAAAACCACTTCGCAACAAGCTGTGAATCCTGCTCCCACAGATTCCCTTCTCCTGAAATAATATGTAATTTATATTTCCTCTCAGTTATTTTTCATTCTCATATTATATATTTGTCTCAGGGATTACCTTAGAAAACCAGAAATGTGAATTAATTCAAACACCGCTGATATTGATGTTTCATTTGGCTTGTGTTCAAAGGTGTAACACCAGGTTCCAATTAAGTAAGTAATCGAGTTTCACATCACACCTATTCTTTCATATAAACAGTTCACATGTGAAGAAGAACAAATTCCATACAAAAAAGGTTGTATGCCTTGGCAATGCTTAGGCCAACGTCAACAAGAGAGTCCCCGAGTCTTTGACTTAATGATCACTCCTGGCTACACGAGTTAATTGTAATTATTATTATATCATATTATGTTATTTTAAGCAGCAGTAGAGGCGATGGGGTTTTCCATTTTGCCAACATCTTTAGAACGTGTCTTGTCCTTCTGTGTGCTACATAAACCCTTCAGCTTTTTTCTAGTGAGAAACCATGTTTCACGCTCAACAAACAAGAGAAATAGAAGTTTTATATATTATAATATACAGATCCAATATGAGATATTTAACTCCAAGGAGGTGTCCTTGTAAAACTGACAGTTAAGCCAGTTTTTCCTTGTTCAGAATCGGACGTTTCGTTGTAGTTCTCACAAGAGACCCATTAAGACCGAGGCCTTACGAACGTTCATCTGCCCCACACATTCGCAAGTCTGAAGGCGGTTTCCTTCATTTACGACCTGAGGTCGACAAGGCGTGGTGACAATCGACTCATTTAACCCGATACGTGTCTTGCGAAACATGACACTGTGTCAACTGCAAAACGTATTAGACCTGCATGTGAATGCATTTTGGATTGAAAAATATGCGGGAAATTGCTGTAGTGACTTATTTTGAGGCACTATTTGAGCTACTTTACGCGAAGAAAAATGCAAGAAATGTGTACTCAGAATAGCTAGTGTCTTGGCCGAGATTCGAACAAATTTTCCACCGAAAATAGATCTTAAGCGTTAGTTCTTAGTCAAATTGCTTGGTAGGTAACGTAGTCTCCGTCTCCTGTTTTGGTGTTACAGATAAGGTCGGTTGTGCGCGTTGATTTATGTCAGGCTAGGTTTCGCAGCGTTATACATGAATCAAATCAAACCTGTTCTCTGTCAAATAAAATACAGAAAAGTGGCCTACAACGAAAGAAGAATAAAAGAAGAGAATGAAATTTCTCTTCGGCAATAAAAATTCGATGAATGTCCATACGGGACTCCTTACGCTATCCTCTGTCATAATGAATTGCATCCGTGGCACAAGGGACGAGTGGAAAAATGAAATACGTCTATTACAATGTGGCTCGTCTGAATGGGCCACCTTAGGCCTACTGTTTGAAACACTCCGTTTTTAATTCGTCAATATATCCTTGTTACGACTAAATGGACGTGTTTTGAACCATATATATATATATATTTCTGAAGCAATATTTATTTTTCAGCCATGCTTTTAATTGCTGCCCGGTTTATTTACGGGTGATTTTAAGAGGCACAGTTTGGAATAGCGTCGAATAACAAGTATAAATTACAATAAAAATTAGACAAGATGCGGAGTTGGGAATGGAGTATTTCATATATTAATCCCTAATTTACTTGGAACTGAATAAAACAAAGATAACCTAAGTAAAGCTAGTCTCTCTCCTGATCGACACTCGAATCCCGGACCTCCAGAATTCGGAGAAGTTGTATGACGTTCGATGCCCTTCCCATAAAGAATGACGTATTTCTGCATTGTTTAATTTATCAAGTCTGTATTGATGCTAGTGTTTTATAAAGTTTAAGTTTTCGTATTTCTTATGTTCCTAACCTTCTTTCAAAACTAATTCCACTGTCCGCTATAAAGATCCTGATCCAGTACGTTGCATCAGCTTTCTGAAATCATGAGGCTGTCAGGGATCGTAATTAATCAGTTCGCAGACATAGGCCTCGTACGTCTAATTTATGTGTTACGTAAACAAGTTCCTTTTCATGCGTCTGATTTTGAATCTCTTGTTTTATGTTTTTGAGAGCACTGTACTAGCGCATTGTGTGGTGGCTTGAAAACAAATAGCCCGCTATAATGTAGGCTTAATTTAGATTTCCTGTCAGGTTCTCTTGATGACAGAAGAACGTGTTTTCAGCACAACAGACAGTACAGTATACTTGCAACATGATGGTTTGCAGAGATAAGTGTTCTGGTTTGAAAAATTATAATTTAACTATATGCGTGTGTGTACCGATTTCGGTGGTCACGTGGTTTGAAGGCCCACCCATTACCATACCAAATTGGTACCGGATTTAAAGCGACCGAAGCGTCAAGCTCCCCAGTCATTTCTGCCTAATGCTGAATTCTAAATTGGGTGCATCTAATAAATCTCCGCCTTAAGCTCCTCGTGTCATTTATCGAAAGCGTGTGAGCAAACTTAGTTTAACCATTCCCATACAACGCATGAGAGATATATTCATTAAAAACATTGGTTCCTTCCTGAATAATTTACTTTTTATTTGAGGTAAATGGAATAAACTAAAGTGGCGAATTAAATATTTTCGGGAGAGAACAACAGAAATTATGTTGCATGA